TCACTTATACAACTTTAATCATTGTCTAATTTAAGTAGTCTACCCAAAAGTTCTATACTAGTTGCCATATCTGAAATCTTCTTGTTCTTTATTTAAATACTCTAGTTTCTATATCTACTTACTTACCTTTACTTACTAATGATTCTATCTGATACCAATGAAAATATGTCATGGCCACTAAGTCTTTAAAGCAGTTTACTTATATAAAAAACCTTTGATCTTGTACTAAAATATTCAGAATCTTCTGTATCCTATTCTTACAGCTGACTTGATATCATTATAGTCAAGACCAAAACTTGCAGTCAGAGTATATCATTAAACTGCTATGTCCTTGTAAAGTTCATTCCAATCCTAGTACTGACTTCACAACATATTTCTACAACTTTGGTATTTAATTTAAGTTCTACTAAACTGTCATTTCAAATAGTCAGAAAATATAAGCCATAACCATACCTCTGGTTTACATGTTTTCTAACATGTATTCTTTTTCTCCGAAATTCAAAAATTCTAGTAACCTGGTTGGTTTATCTGATTTTTTTCCAAAAACTAGCATATTTGCTCAGTTTTACAAGTTTTAACTCTGTTTTATAGGTCTAGTTTTTACAATAAAACTGTCAAAGATTTGAGTTATATTTCTATTTGGGTCTTCCAAATGGGCTTCTGTCTTCCTATCTGGTTTCTATGATTTACATAATCCAAGAACTTATCATGTGTTCACACTACCTAGTACCAGTTTGTATTCTTTCATACAACATTGTACAAGTATCTAGACCTTCTAGTCATGCTAGTATAATATGGGTTACAAGTGTCTAATCCCAACCAATTATGAAAGCAGTTAACTGTAATACAAAAAGAATTGCAAATTTTTGCCATTACTAGGATTTGAACTCTAGACCTGCTACTTGGAAGTTGACAATGACTACTTCACTAGGTTACTACATTTTTTAAAAAATGTTTTTACTTATATTACATCTTAGTTTTATATATATTTTATATTACATTATTAATAGCAATTCTTTTTATAAAAAAAGTTCTAATTTTGTATATAAAAAGTAAAAAAGTCCAATACTTTATATTTGATTAAAATTAAGACAATTATATAGATGCAAAAAAATTAAATAAATAATCTTTTAGTCAAATTATTGGTATAATTACTAATGTAAATTATAGGTTGTATATATAACTAATCTGTATTCTTTAATATATATACTAGATAAACTTTATGACTAATTAAAAATAGACCAATATATATAATCAAAAATAATTTCAGTCTAGATTTTGAATTTACAACTTATTTTTGATGAAAAACTGATTCAAGTAATTATCAGAAAGAATTTTTTTTATAACTAAAATTATTAAAACTATAAAAACTTAAAATTAGTTATAAAAAACTTAAAACTTAATTTTTAGAACATTGCCTAGATTTAAAAAAACTTGAGACCTAGTTCTTGAAGTAGCGTCGGGTCTAAAACCTAGTTTAAAAAAATAATGGTTATATAAATACCATCATATAAAATATAAAAATTAGATTGACTAATTAACCATACTCACCTTATCTTGGAAAGAAGATTATTGCATATGGTCACATTGTCCCATGCCATTGACTGCATTATGAATGACCAAAAATCTAGTTTTTATATACTCACTATTGATTTTTGAAAATACTTAATATTTACTCAATGTGAAATTTGTATATTTGATTTATAATTATCACTATATTTAAAGATTATCGATATAATAAAGAAAACTTCACCTCCTAACGTCTTCAATATACCCGAGAGTAACTTGTATAAGTAACTACTTTGTGGTCTTTGAAATTTAATATTATCATAAATAACATATAAAATTCTTAAAGTGATCTCACTAATTCAATTCGTTGCAATTGGATCTCTACAATTTCTAAAACTTATATTTATTTTTTGTTACTAAATAAATTACAGGTTGAATATTAAATTTTCTTATATATTTATTTTTATAAACCTTTAATCTATAAACTTTGGTACTTGCGCATTTATGCAGAACTAAATTGATTTTATTGTGCCATAATTAACTGTGACATATTTCTTAATTAGTTTTATATATCAATTGAGTATTAATTTGAATATAACTTTGTCAAAAACAAAGAATACAAGGAAATATACAATCTAGAACGAACAAATAGAAAAAAAAGATTGTTACTTGCTAAAGATGTTCATGAAGAAAACATAAATATTCCATTATATGTTCTAAAAATAAATGAGAACTTTAATAAAACAGTTATTTAAAATGCAACTTGGCTACAAAAAATTAATCAAAAATGCTTTATCACAATTTATCGAGCAGATTAGCCCAGAATGGTTTATATTATGTAATTTATTAAGTGATATTTTTTGCTAATAAATACATATAATAAATATTATATATTAACAATATACTAATAATATACTTAAAAATATTCTAATTATTTTAAGTACTTTCAATCTCATTCTCTTCAGCCTTTCTATCCATGACTGAAGTCCTTTTATCTATCTTTTCTGTATGACTTTTTAAATATTCTTCATATGCTACAAATCTAATGAATATTTTAGTTAATAAGTTGGAAAATGTTGAGATACCTGATGCTATCAAGGTAATTACTGGAATAGGATCAAATACGACACTATAACGAATATAGAATATCTAAAATAGCATAATGAATAGCATAATGTTAGAAAAATTGCATATATTTAAATAATGTTCTTGACCTATTTTTAACTTACCTGAATAACTAATTGTGGTATATCTGCCAAAAGTATGTTAACACAACCTCCCCAAAAAATTACTCTCAATGCATTTCTAGACAACGGTGCATTTAAGAAATCCCATTCCATCAAATACGATTTTATTAAAGATAATAAATCAATATTTGCGCCGGATAACAATGCTATTGTAACAGCAACTCTTGTATAATTTCCAAGCCATTCGACAAATTCTTTACTCCGCTCAGTTACTAAAACTGAAAATGATAGAATTAAATTTACTGCTACAGGAATCACCAGAAATGATATGCTAAATGTTGGTAGAGAATTAAAATTAGTAATATAATTATTTATTGTTTATTTGAGCGATTCATACAAACTTACCTCGGTAAATAAAGAAATGAAATGACAGTAGAATCGAAAATAACAAATATCAAATATGAGACGAAACGAAATATGGTAAGACCAAGTGTAAGAATGATTAAGTTGTCTCCCTAAAATATTTTTATAGGTTAAACGTGAATAAAAAGAAACAAAAAAAATTGAACTATTTTAATTTAATAAAAATCGTTACGTACATCCGGTGATCTTAACCTGAATACTAAGAATATCAATAAATTTATAGCTATGGCTACAAAAACTATTATAAACTTTATTTTATTTGCTTCAAAGAGGTCCGAAAATTGCTCTATTAAAATAAACCAATATAATGAGTTAATTATATTATTTTTTTTTAAAAAAAGGAAGGTGACACTTACTATTTGTTTGAAATCCATAAATATCATCTAAATAAGTGGAATTTCCGATCGATATAGGCGTATCTTGTTTGTTACGTATTAGCTGGTCTAGGTTTTTCTGTACATCATTACTATATAATTTATTACCAGGTTGTGCACCATTAATAGTAAGCAAAATAAGAAGATTCGATTTTGAAGATGTATCCAATTGAACATTCTGATTGGTATTTAATCTTTTTTTCTCTGTGGGAACCTTGATTGTGAGTTCATTTACTAATGCATCGAGAAAGTCGGATTTTTCTGAGGAACTCATGTTTTGGAAATGTCGAGTTCCATCTATTGTTAATCGTATTGATCCCGTGATACTACCTAAATTAAAAAGTTTGAAGTTAATATAATGCGTATCGAGATAACCTTATAGATAAGTTTAAATAACATTACTATCATGTAATCCACTGTCGCCACTATTAACTATTCACGTTAATAAGTAGATTATTAATAAATGAGATTCGATATTTATCAACAAATTTTAATACGATTATAATTTTGTAAATATAAACCTGTTTGAAAAGTCCACAAATTAGGATCAATCCCTAGGATGGGTTCACCGTATTGAGCGCTCTGCACAAAATTAGTATCCATTTTTATATAATATGTCCCATTCGGTTCATTGAAAGTGCAATCAAGAACTTTAAGAATGACAACTTTGTCAGCAACTTTGCATCTAGTGCTGGTGTCACAAGTTCTTGAATTAATTGCCTGTCGAAGAAAACTACCATCACTAGTCGTTTGATAAATAGTTAAAACACCATCCGAAAATTTAATTGAATCATGATATGTGATGTTAATCGTGTTGTAACCTAATTCTAGATTAACAAGTTTGTTTTGAGGATATGTATCGGAGATATGAAAGTTACCATAACCATTATCTATATGGTATAAAAATAAACATTAAAAACTTCATTTTTCATATCTATTATTTAAATTTAAAAATACTTCACCATTGTATGGATTAAGTTTAGGTAGTGAAACCGAAAGAAAACTCCAAGAATTCAATGATGATTCATTTAGTGCTACTAGAAACGTATTATTTTGAGTTACATCAATAGCACCAAGTAAATTGGCAACAATAGGCTTCGTCGGAAAGCTATAATCTGATAGTTTATTATCTTCATCAAAAAGACTAAAATTTAAATTTACAGAAACACTATCCACTTTAGAACGTTCTCGTGATAATAATATATATCCACCATAAGGCAACGTTTTAACATTCACACCAAGTGTATTGTTAGATGATGGAGATACTGGATCTAATGACAACAGTGCTCCAGAGGAAAGAAAACGTATTTTCACGTAAAATATGTCTGTATTTTGAGAAGAAATAGATTGAGGTACGGTGGTGGCAATCGGTACAGCTGAGGTACCGGCGGGGCCAGCCACTGTGGTAGTGGCTGTAACGGTAGTATTGACCTGATTTACAGTCGTTTGTGTATGATTTACGGTTACAATACATGAATGACCGATAGCAACATAATCCACGGAACAGTATAGTTGAAGGAATGTTAGATTTTTCTGTGGTAATTCATATAAAATAATTCTTTTAGGCGTTGATGTTTGATTATAACCCAATATTTGTACATATAATCCAGCAGTTGAAGCAAATTCAAAAGTTGTATTTCTGGTTGTCGTGTTGGCATATACGATTGCATATCCTCCATCTAAAGTTGCAATCACCGTAAGTTGAAAACTAGTAAAATTTTCGTCAATAGACCTATTCCTTGTCATTAAATCGAATTTTCCATTATCAATACTAAAAAAAAAAAAACAATAATAATAAAATTTAAAAAATGAATCAAATATTTATGTATATAATAAATTTAATGACGCAACGTACTGTGAGTATTGACTCCATTCATAATCACCCGTTCCACTAATTGCAGATAAACGTAGAAAACCTTTTTCAGGAATAATATTATTTACTACAAATTCGTTTGGATACCAAATAGTTGTATTTGGGATTAAGTAAGAAGGTCCGAAATTGAGATAACTGCCAAATAATAATATATGTATAATATTTATAATAATCATTGCTATTTAAACATTTCAAATACTCAATTATACATCAAACAGACCTTTTAATTTTTCCATCCCAATCAAAAACCATTCCCCGATCTGCATAAGTTGTAGGATCGGAGGTATTGGTTGCATGAACGTACGATACTAGAACATATTGATCAAATAATGGGTATATGC